CTCTTGTTACCCAGGCTGGAGTGCAATGGCACCATCTCGGCTCACCGCAACCTCCGCCTCCTGGGTTCAGGCAATTCTCCTGCCTCAACCTCCTCAGTAGCTGGGATTACAGGCATGCGCCACCATGCCCAGCTAATGTTTTCGTATTTTTAGTAGAGACGGGGTTTCACCATGTTGACTAGGACGGTCTCGATCTCTTGACCTCGTGATCCACCCGCCTTGGCCTCCCAAAGTACTGGGATTACAGGCTTGAGCCACCGCGCCCGGCCTAGATAAATTTATGAATAGCAGTTACTCTTTCGTGGGACTTTCCATAAACATACAGATTGTATTTGAAAAAAATTATATGATAACGGGTCTATTCCTCACACTTTAAAAAGTTACCTTTCAACTATATCCTCTCCCTTACACTACTCTCCACGTATCAACGTTTGATTAGTCACTTCATTAACATAACTTTGGACTAGTTTAAAGTAGTGAGGGGTAACGTTTTCGAACACTGAAGGCTGCTAACTTTCCACTTTAGCAATTTAGGTTTTATCATCTGTTCTGGAACAACTGTATGCACTTACCTATTGTGAGGTCGTGAACAGGCTGGAACCGCTTATCTGTAAACTGCAGGAGGAGACATGACTTCCCCACACCTGAAAGTGAAAGAAGAACGCTCCGGGTGTCACGCAACCCTGCAACACCTTCCAGGGTCTGGACTTCCCAGACCAGGGAAGGGGGCTCCCCGAGCCCCGCCCCTGGCCGTCCCGAACCGCCCGCCTGTCTCGAATTGCCCAGCCCACTAAGTGAGCCCCGCCCCCGCCACCCAATTAGAGAGCTTCATATTCCCGCCCCAGCCTTGAAGGCGGACCACCTGCGGGTTACCTGTGTCTCCGATGATGATGTACTTGAAGAGATAAGCATAAGTCATGGTCTCGATTCCTCTGGGTTCCGGGTCCGCCCGAAATCTACAGCCACTTACCTCCGACCTCTCTAGCCACTCAATCTACAGATCTCCTTTTTTTTTCCCCCTCCCCCACTCTCCGGCTCCTCTAGCCCAGATCACGTCTCTATTGCTCTCCCCAGAAATCCTCCTTAGGTCAGGAGTACCCAAAGCCACCTCCAGGGACGCCTCTAGCACTTCTACGTGCCATTATCCCACCAAGCTCCAGGGGGCGACAGCCCAGCGCCTGACTCGCTGCAGCCCCACTGCGCTCCTTCCAATCAGCAGAGAGTAACGCACGTACTTGCGGAAGTGACGGCAGTTCCGTGTCCAGTGGGGCGGTGGGAGCGATGAGGGTCTGAGTCGGTGGTAGCGGATGTGTGAAGATGGAGGTAGGAACCTGATCGCTTAGAAGCCTAGCGAGAGAACGCGGCCGACCGGGTTGAAGCAGAGACGGGAAGCCGGGCGGAGAGGCGACTGAAGGGAGAGGAGAGAGAGCGGGGTTTGGGGAGTGTTGTCAGAATGTCGGGGTCAGAAGCCGTCGCTCCCGGCTAACTCCCTGCTCCCTCTAACTTACCCCCGCGGCTTTCTTTTGGTTTCCAGTTTCCCGGAGGAAATGACAATTACCTGACGATCACAGGGCCTTCGCACCCCTTTCTGTCAGGGGCCGAGGTGAGCAAGAGCTGCCGACGCCGCGTGGGGAGAGGGCCTGAGGCGGCGGTGGGGTAGGGTGGTGGGGAGGAGAGCACGGACTCCAGAGACGTGGGCTGGGAACCAAGGGCCGCAATTGGTGTTTAGAGAAAAGTGGCAGCTGCTTCTAGAGCCTGTGGGGACTATCTGGGGAAGTTCTTGGAAGTTGCTGCCATCAGAAAAGCAGGGTACTGGAAAGAAATAATTTGCTTAAAGAGGAAAGTTATTCTGGATTAGAAGACAGTGGAATTGTCTCCTTTCTTTGGGGAGGAAATAACTACAGCAATCTTGAGGGGTCCCAGTAGGAAGAAAATTTTTCAGCTGAAGAAATTGGGGTAAGGGGAAGAGCTTACCTAGCAGAGGGTTAACCGTGGACAACATGTGTTCATTCTTGAAACGAAGTCTGTTAAAGGGGTCTTTTAAATTTTATTTAAATTTCCTACTTTTTTTTTTTTTTTGAGACGAGAGTCTCGCTCTGTTGCCAGGCTGGTGTGCAGTGGCGCGATCTCGGCTCACTGCAACTTCCGCCTCCCGGGTTCAAGTGATTCTCCTGCCTCAGCCTGCCTAGTAGCTGGGATTACAGGCATGCGTCACCACGCCGGCTAATTTTTGTATATTTAGTAGAGATGTGGTTTCACCATATTTGCAGACTGGTCTTAAACTCCTGACCCCAGGTGATCCCACCCCCCTCGGCCTCCCAAAAGTGATGGGATTACAGGTCTGCGCCACCGCGCCCGCCTAAATTTTCACTTTGATGAAAATTTTGTGGTTACCTTTACGTACACAGGTCAGCTTGTTTTGCTAATACCAGGAGGAAAGGAAATAGCTGCTAGAGAACATAAAAAGAGTTGAGTACGACATGTGTTTCAGTTTGCCAGTGACTTAACTTTGGGCAGAATACTTCATCTTTGTATGTCACAGTTTCCCCAGCTGTCGAACAGCTGTAATAATAGTCTCTTATGATGTTTTAAAATAGAATTAAAGGTTATGATGAAGCTCTGAACTATTAGTGAAAAAATTTTGGTGAAATACTGTCATAGAGCCGGGCCTGGTGGCTCACGCCTGTAATCCTAGCACTTTGGGAGGCCGAGGCAGGTGGGTCACATGAGGTCAGGAGTTCAAGACCAGCCTGGCCAACATGGTGAAACCCGTCTCTGCTAAAATACAAAAATTAGCTGGGTATGATGGCGGGTGCCTATAATCCCAGCTACTTGGGAGGCTGAGACGGGAGAATTGTTTAAACCCAGGAGATGGTGGTTGCAGTGAGCCAAGATCGCGCCATTGTACTCCAGCCTGGGCAGCTGAGTGAGACTCGTCTCAAAAAAAAAAGGAAAGAAATATTGTCATAATATAGATATGTATCACTTGTTTAGGGGAGGCAAAAGAGAAAGGTGGAACAGACAAAAATTTCTGTCTTTGAGAAAATGAAGTTTTGAACCATCTGCCATTTTTTGAGGATTTTTATATTTATTTTCAAAACTGGTGTGGACCATTTGCATCAGTTTTTTTGTACCAAGAATTGTCATGGCTGTCTCATGGGCTTATCTTATAATCCTAACGTTTTCATGGATGAAAATTGGGTTGATAAGGAGCAGTTGCTAGTTTAAATTTTTTTTTTTTTTTTTTTTTTTTTGAGACAGAGTCTCCCTGTAGCCCAGGCTGGAGTGCAGTGGCACAGTCTTGGTTTACTACAGCCTTTGCCTCCCAGGCTTAAGTGATTCTCCTGCCTCGACCTCCCAAAGTAGCTGGGACTACAGGCGTTTGAGACCAGGCCCAGCTAATTATTATTATTATTATCGTATTTTAGTAGAGATAGGGGTTTCGCCATGTTGCCGAGGCTGGTCTTGAACCACTGGCCTCAAGTGATCCACCCGCCTCAGCTTCCCAAAGTGCTGTTACAGGCGTGAGCCACCGTGCCTGGCGCTAATTTAACTTTTTTTGTTGGTATTATTTATTATTCTCATAAGCAGGGTAAATGTAAATCTAGTATGCAGCAAACTTATAAGTGATATAAAACTAAAATCTGGGCCCACCACAGTGGCTCATGCCAGTAATCCCAACCCTATGGGAGGCTGACACGGGAGAATTGTTTGAGCCCAGGAGTTCTAGACCAGGTTGGGCAACGTGATGAAACTCTGTCTCTATTTAAAAAATAATAGTAATTAATTTATTAAAATTGCCGGGCGTGTGGTGGCTTACGCCTATAATCCAAGCACTTTGGAGGCCAAAGGTGGGCGGATCACCTGAGGTTGGGAGTTCAAGACCAGCCTGACCAACATGGTGAAACCCTGTCTTTATAAAAATAAATAAATAAATAAAATTATTAAAATAACAGCTAAAATCTGCTTGGTGCTTTGCACTCCCAGTTGCCAGTTTCTTGTGAGTGGGATCTCCATTTTTTTTTTTTTTTTTTTTTTTTTTGAGACGGA